CACATAATATGTGCTTAGTAAATAGTTGTTGAATGATTAAGTGAATGGACGAATGAATGCTCAGCTCCTAAAGGAACACTGCTAAGGGAGCGGAGAATAAGAAGGGCTAGGGAGGGCCGGCCCCATGGCTTAGAGGTTAAGTGCGTGTGCTCCGGTGCTGGCGGCCCGGGTTGGGATCCCGGGCCTGCACCGACGCACTGCTTCTCTGGCCATGCTGAGGCCGTGTCCCACATACAGCAACTAGAAGGATGTGCAGCTATGACATACAACTATCTACTGGGCTTTGGGGGAAAAAATAAATAAATAAAATTATATATAAAAAAAAAAAGAAGGGCTAGGGAACATCAAGAAGAGAAGAATGAATAATGAATATTTAAGGGGGCATTTAAAGGACGGATAAAGGACATTGATGGGGAGGTTATCAGATGGAAAGAGAATAATTGGGCATCTGAACTTGAAGGAGGGGCAACATCTCAGAGAAACTGCTAACCCTAAGCAGGGTTTAAAGGGAGAGGGAAGAAGGAGGCTTCCAGGAGGGACAGAAAAGAGGAAGTAAAGTCTCAGAAGAGAGGAAGTAATACTTAAGGGAAAGAGCACAGTATTTGGTGGCGGTGGATCTGAATTTCAGTCCTGGCTCTGCCTCTAACCAGCTGTTTGAGCCTAGGTAAATCCCTTACCGTGCTGGAATCTGAGGCCTTGCTGTAAAATGACTGGACTCTTGGCCCCAACGCTGTTAAAGGGTTAGATGAGAGACCGGGCCCTGAGGGTATCATCCCTATAACTTGGGTCATGTCTTTGAGCATCGGTATTGTTCGGTTAATCTGGTTGAATCTTCATCCTCTATCTCTACCTCAAGTCTACCCCTCCTGAAGCTGCCCTCCCCATCAGGGGGTGTTTTATCCAGAGTTCTTGGGGCAATTGCATAGGAAAGCTGCCCTGCTCTAATAAAACTTCCAGTTATGTTAAAGCACATCGTAAACAGCAAAGTCTTTTTAAAACATGAGTCATTATAGAAGCAATCAAGATTGAAGAAAATCTTTGGGAAAGAGCCTGGTGAGTGGGAATTGGGAGGAATTGCGGTCTCCTTCAATTGTGGGCCTTCTTTTCCCACTTCAGTTTTCTCCCCAAAGATGCTTCATATTCTTTGTTCAGGCTTTTTCATTTCTCTCTCACTCAACCCAACCTGCCCTTCATTTACAAGTCACCTTCTCCAGGAAGCCTTCTTGAAACCATTCTCACTCATTCTCATGTGTATCAACATATCCTCAACCCACTCTTCTCCCCTCCGTGCACCTTTACAATTCGGTAATGACAGGTCTCAGTTGACGATGGATACACCTTATTTGCCTTATCATACTCTCTAATTCAGAAATGGCAGATTTGGGTTCATGATGGATACACTTTGCCTGCCTTATCACACTCCCTAAGGGCGGGGACCATCACTGTCTTGTCATCAGTCTCCCAAACACCTCTTCGTACCTACCTTTCCCCCTTGAAGCCTCCTAAAAACTTGTGGACTCTTTAAAAGGATGAGCATGTTACTGATATGGAGGAGAGATAGACTGAAGAATAAACAAAAAGAGAAAAGGAAGAGAAGGAACAGAATCGAGGGGATGAGATAAGGCCTGTCTCACCTCCAGCATTCCCCAGTATTATGCATGGGTGTTGAGCTGGAACATTCCACAACACCACAAGTGGACATCCTGGAAGGAGCGGGAAAGGAATGGGAACAGTTATGTGGGAGGCACCTATAGCAAGAAGATGTGATGCTAACAGAGAGGCAGGATCCAGTCATGGTCAACTGGAACAAGCCAAGCCAAGCCAACCCAACACCAAAACTCACCTCCACCCATCCAGCTCTCTGGAGATAGGATGAACCCAAGGAGGGATTGAGAGATCAAGTACAGAGTTGTTAGGGATTCTGGTGAGGGAAGGAGACAGTCTTGAGAAGAGAAACATCTCCTGGCAGGGTTTGTCTCCAAAAGCCTTTTCCCTGGAAGGTGCTTCCTAGAACCATTAGGTGTGAAGTCATGGTAGCCATGGTGGAAAGGCGAAGCTAAAGCATTGTCAGCAGGAATCCTCATCTTCTGGTTATAGAAGGCAAATGGCAACTAGGCCAGGAGCTTCCTGAGCTAGACTGAATGCTCTGGAGGAAGAGGGGCCCAACCAGAAAGAACAACGAGTGCGACGGCCTGGCAGTGAGATCAGCCTTGGCATGGCCAAGGACAGAAAGTACAAGGCACCGTGGCTGGAGCATAGGGATGAAATGCAGAGGGGCAGGCCTACCTGCACACCTCGTCATGTAAGACAATGGGTCCCTCCTGCCCCCACCAGCTAAACATTGGAGTCACCTGGAGAGATTTAATAGTCTTGATGCCTGGAACCCATCCCCAGAGATTCTGTTTAATTGATCTGAGGTGTCTCCTGGGCATCAGGAATTTAAAAGTTCCCCTGATGATTCTAATGTGCAACCAAGGATGTGAACCACTGACAAGATCTTGGGGGCCACAGCAAGGCACTTGGATTGGTGACAATACAAGTGTCCTGAAGAGACTCAGAGACCCAGATCCAGAAAGAACCCAATGTCTAAGAAACCTTGGGGTGGGGGTGTAGCCAAGAAAATGAAGCAATCCAAAGGAAAAGAGACAAAAGAGAACAGACAAAAAGGCCAAGAGAGGCAGAGAAATCCAGAAAATGAGACACATTGGAAGGGGCCAAACCAGACAAGTGCAGACAGGCCCAAAGGGCCAGAGACAGAGAGAAAGGGAAAGCTTGTGTTTTCGTTTCCCATTTGGTGCTATAACAAATGATCATAAACTTGTTTGAAATGTGTGAAACAACACACACTTATTATCTTACAGTCTATAGTTCAAAAGTCTGAAATGGGTCTTAGTGGGCTAAAATCAAGGGGTCAGCAGGGCTGGGTTCCTTCTGGATGCTCTAGTGGAGAATCCATTCCCTTGCCTTTTGCAGCTTCTAGAGGTTGCCCACTTCCTTTGCTCATGGCCTCCTTCCTCAGTCTTCAAAGCCTTCCAAGCTTCTGTCTCTCTGGTTGTCCTCTTCTGCTTCCGTCTTCTGCTTCTAAGGACCCTTGTGATTACATTGGACCCACTTGGAGAATTTGGAATAATCTCCCTATTTTTTTTTTGTGAGAAAGATCAGCCCTGAGCTAACATCCATGCCAATCCTCCTCTTTTTGCTGAGGAAGACTGGCCCTGAGCTAACATCCATGCTGATCTTCCTCCACTTTATGTCACAGCATGGCTTGACAAGCGGTGCGTCGGTGCGCGCCCAGGATTTGAACCCAGGCTGCCAGCAGCGGAGCGCACGCACGTAACTGCTACGCCACGGGGCCGGCCCCAATAATCTCCCTATTTTAAACTCAACTGATTAGCAATCTTAATTCCATCTGCAAACCCAATTCCCCTTTGCCACGTAAGGTAATATATTCGCAGCTTCCAGGAATTAGGACATGGACATCTTTGGGGGACCACTGTTCTACCTAACATAACATGGAAGTCCATCTTTTATGAAATAGGTTATGGTTGTATCTGTAGTCTTTTACTTGGGTAGCTGTGCATTTTGTGAGCATTGAGCTGGGAGGTTTATTCCAAAATGAGTGTACATGTGTTTATTTGTGTAGGTTTGTTTATCAGGGTGTCATATTTGAGTGTCTCCCTGAAAAGTATGGGTGGGGGGAGAAGGATGCCTGGAGGGGGTGCCTAATAAAGTGCTGCTGCTCCATAAAGACTTACTGCTGTTGTATTGTTGTTCTTGTATTGTTGTTTATTGACAATAAAACTAACAACAGAGTGGCTCTTTGCATGTTTTCTTTGAGTATGTCTATTGGTCCCTAAATAATACTGGGTGTCCATCCCAGTGATATCTAGTGTGTATGAGACTATTCGGACATATCTGTGATGTTTGCGTTATATGAATGTATCTGTCTGTAAGTGTTGGGCACATTTGGGCATTTAGACATCAATGAATGTACACGCATGTTTGTAAACAGTGTGTGTGATCATAGTTGTAGACATCTGGAGGTTTACTTATTCACAAACCCCCAAGGGTATCCAGACAGAAAGGCCTAGCGTGAGAGAGGCTAAAGGGCTAGGAAGAGGAGGGAGCTGGGAGGAAGAGGAGAGGAGAGAAGAGGAGGGGAAAGGAGAAAAGAGACAGAGAGATGGAGATGAGGGAAGAGGGAACAAGGAAAGATCAGAAAAAAATCAGAAAGCAGAAGAAAGTTCTAGGGGTCTAAAAAAAGAGGCAGGGTGGAGTCACAGCAAGGGCACAAATCAGAAGATCTGGGTATGGCTCCACTTCTCATCATTCCCTTGCTGTGTGACCTTGGCAATGCCAGCTCTCTGGGCCTCAGTTTACCAAGAGAGTTGAAACAGATAACCCTTGGGTACATTTCAAAGAAGGAGAGAAAGAGAAAAGTGGACATAAAAACATACACAGGGAAAGATAGAGAGAAAGAACTAGAAAGAGAGACATAGGAAGAAAGCAACAGGAGAGGCCCTGGGAGCTAGCCAGAGGTAGAGCTGAGAGAGCCCAACTCTGACTCCTTGAGACAGGAGTGTGGGCGACTTCTCCCCACCTCTTACTGCAAAGCTTCAGAGTGTCCTCTAGCCCTTAATAGGTAAGGCAGGAAGATGGAAAGCAGAGAGGTGCCTGGAATGACAGCCACGCACTTACACTCACAGGCCTGCCAAAGCCACACAAACCAGGATCCAGCTTCTGGCCCCCAGCCCCCAGATGTAGGTGTGCCAGCCACCTGGAATGACTCACACCCTGGCCATCTGGGCACACATGCCAAAAACGAGTCTGGGCACCCTGCCCACCAGCACACCACAGGCGGAGGAGGACGTGAGATTCGGGCTCTTCAGGGGGTGACAGGGGGCTACCCTTCCCACACATTGCTACCTTGCCCTCAGAGCGTTCCCTAGTGACCACATCCTCGGCTCGAGGACCTAGGTGTCCTTTCCTCCCACTCTCCTCCTCCAAACTTTACTGCGAAGGGAGAGCACCAGATGAGGTGTTACGCAAGGCCTGATGTTTACCTCCCGCAGGGGCCTCCTCCCTCGCTATAAAGCATGACGTGGTAGGGAGATTCGCAGAGACTGAGACTGAAGAGAGAGGCAAGCCCAGGATAGGGGCAGAAAAGCGTCAGAAAGTTAACGCGGGAGACGGAGAGAGGGGCACGGACTCAGCAAGCAGCAGGGGCGGTCCGCCGTCTGCGCGCTCGAAGGCGGTCGCGGTGGTCGCAGAAGGGACGGCGCCCGGACGCTGGCTCCCTATGGAGGCGCCCGAGCTGGGCCCGGGGCTAGTGGAGCGTCTGGAGCAACTGGCGACATGCCCGCTGTGTGGGGGCCCCTTCGAGGACCCCGTGCTCCTGGCGTGTGAACACAGCTTCTGCCGCGCGTGCCTGGCCCGCTGCTGGGGGACCCCGCCGGCGACCGGCACCGAGGCGTCCCCCACCGCCTGCCCCTGCTGCGGACTGCCGTGCCCCCGCCGCAGCCTGAGGTCTAATGTGCGGCTGGCGGTGGAGGTGCGGATCAGCCGCGGACTGCGGGAGAAGCTGGCCGAGCCCGGGGCCCGCACGGGGAAACGCCGAGGAGGCCGCATCCCCACCATGGGCTGCCTGGACCCGCACGGAGAGGTGAGGCGGGCGTGCGCTTCACGGGGCCGCAGCTATTGGTGTAAGGGGCAGATTCCTGGGGAATAGGGGAATGGTACCTCCCTAGCCCGATCCCTATGGAAGTTTAGGCAAAAGATGGAGTTGAGGAGAGAAAAGCAAAGCACGAGGGGGCGGGGGCTAACCCCTCCTCACCGTGAAGCGAGAGGGGCCAAGGGAGGACGACGGGAAGGAGTTGACACTTTGCCCAGAGGAGAGGGGGCTGGACAGATGCCTGGATCTGGTGAGAGGAGCTGGAGAGAAGGGGTTGGGGCACTAGACAGAACGCTAGGAGCCCCCCGGAGCCCCCGCACAGAGCGCGGGAACTGCGGGAGGATGGGGAATGACGCCGCTAGGCGCCCAGGAGGAGGAGACCCGAAGAGCGGTGGGAGCCGGCGGGGGGGTCGGGGAACGGCGGGAGGAGCTGACTGGGGCGGGGGCGAGCAGGGGTCCTGGAGGCGCTGGGGGAGGGGCGGGGATCAGAACTGGCATAATGGAGGGGGAGCAGGAGGGAGGGCGGAGAAAAAGCTGGAGTGGAGAGGCGGGTAAGGAAGGGGCTGTCAAAAGTAGGGAGGAAGGGACGGGGGAGCAGATCCAAACGCCCCTGTAGCGTAGCGGGGTTGGTTCCCGAGCTCTGGCCTTAGCCAAGGTGTGTGTTGTTTGTTATTATTGTCCTCAGCTCCTCCCAGGGCCCCAGGCAGGGGTGGCGACGGGTGGAGGCGGGATTTGGAAGAACAGCCACTGGGCCTCTGGCTCCTCTCCATATCCCAGCCTTATTAGCTCCCTAACCCTCGCGTCCCTCCTGGGCCATCAACCAAGCCCCTTCCCTTGCCTGACCCCCAGGCGTCCGGAATTCCCGACTGGCTTCTCCCCAGCAGCCGAGCCGGTCTCAGGTCATGCTTCCGCCCTTTGAAGTCTACATAGACCTAATTAGTCTAGGTGTAATTGGCATAATTAGGCAAATTACCTTTCATCTCTCCCCTTCACCACCATACTGCTCTGCTCCAGTCGTGCCCAGTGGACAGTGAAGGGGTAAGGGGGAATCCTAGCGCGAATTTGGAGGAGGGGGCATCCAGCGCCCTCTCCTGGCTCCCATGGTACCCTGCAGATCTGTTCCACCTGGGACACATCCAAGTCCAGCTGCCTCCTTGGCCACGGTAGACAGACACAAAGCAAAGGGCCCCATAAACGCCATTGGGCTTTTATGGCAAGAGGGGAAGCAGCTTTATTATAGGGCTTTTATGCAGCAACTCTTAGCCCAAAGGCTCTGGGAGTGTGTTTGGTCTGTGTGATGGAGGGGGAGGGGGGCGTTTATCTGGGATACACCTCAGGACACTGCATAAGAATAGGAGCCCCTGAGATTGAGAATGAGGCTGGGGGGCAGAGGGTGCAGCAGGGAAAAGTAAGGACTCTGGGGGCAAGAAAAAAGCATGGATGAGGCTGGGGAAGGGGAACTGAGAGCACTTGGGGCATAGGTGAAGGGGAGGTCAGTAGGGGATAGAGTTAGGAGGATGCAGATGAAGTGGTGATGGAGAGAGAGTAAGCAAGGGTCAGGAAAGGGGAAGGGGGAGAATGAGAGGAAAAGGGAGCACAGGGGATAAAGAGGTGAGATCACTCTGAGAGGTGGGGAGGGACCTCACCAACTCAGATGCAGCTACCTGAGGACGGGGAAGAAGGGGGGCTCCCCACAGTATGAAGCCCAGAGCTCACATCCATGTTTTCTTCTGCCCACCCCAGGATACGAGGCAGACATGGAAAAGGTGAGTTCTACTTTTACTGTTCCTTCCTTTCCACTCCCAGCTGCCACATCCATCACCTTCTCACTGGGCCCACATCCTTGTCCCCACTCACAGAGAGGTTTTGTGGGTGTGGCGTCACCCCTTTTTGCTCCAGAGATGTGAGTGGGGTAGGGGTGGGGGCATCAGAGGGCAGAGGGTGTCTACCGATTTCCTGACCCTTCTCCCTCATCTGTCCAGATTTGATGCCCCAACACCCAAGTCATCTAACTCTGAGGATGATCTCCCTGAAGATTACCCAGTGGTCAAAAACATGCTTCACAGACTGACAGGTAAGGAGGGCAGAAGGAAGGGAACAGAATGAGAGTCTGTTTTAGGTTTGCACCCTTTTCTCTCAAAAACGATCACGTCCTTTTTGATGCCTGTATTAGTTTCCCAGAACTGCTGTAACAAAGCATCACACACTGAGTGGCTTAAACTTAGAAATTTACTGTCTCACAGATGTGGAGGTAGAAGTCAAGGCGTCGGCAGTGTTGGCTCCTTCTGAGGGCTGTGAGGGAGAATCTGTTCCATGACTCTCTCCTAGCTTCTGATAGCTTCTGGTGGCTTCAGGCGTTCCCTGGCCTGTAGACAGCATTCTCTCTGTGTCTTCACATTATCTTCCCTCTGTACACATTTGTCTCTGGGTCCAAATTTCCCGTTTTTATAAGGACACCAGTCATACTGGATTAGGGTCTACCCTAAGGACCTCATTGTAATTTGATTACCTCTGTAAAGATTCTATTTCCAAATATGGTCACATTCTAAAGTACTGGGGGACTTCAACATATCTTTTTTGGGGGGGGACGCAATTCAACTCATAACAATGTCTATCCTCAAGTCCTCATATTCCAGCCGCTCTCCCCTCTTACCTTTTCATACACTCACACAACACACCCTTGGAGGTCAGCTGCCCCTCGAGAATCTCTGCTTCCACCATTTCTCATCACTCTTCTCCAGATGGGTCTCAGGACTCCTGCATCTCCCTGCTCCTGGTGGGACTCTGGGCCTTTTCTGCAGCTTCTGGGGAATTCCTTCCTCCATCACTCCCACAGCTGCCCACCACCCTTTAAACTGCCTAGAGAAGATGCTCTACCCTTTGGGTCACCCACCATCCCACCCAACCCAGATTACTTCTAGCACCCCTAATCCAGAAATCTTTCCTCAAAGCACTCCATATGCACAAGGCCAATGATTATTTCTTTCCAGTCCCTTTGGCTATCACCACTTTCTCTCTCCTCCTCTGCCCCACCCTCCCTGTAGAAATAGGCCTGTCCACTCCCACCTATTCCTGTGGGTGGGTGGGCTGGTTTCTCAGGATACCTTGAATTCCTCCCTTTGCCCCTCCCTTCTGTAACTTGGGGTTCCGGTACCTAGTATCAGTCTTCCTCTTTAGATCCACCTTCCTCATCTTGCTGACCCAGCCCCCATGCCCCACTCCAGATGCTGCAGATGGAGGCATCAGTCCTCACTCCTCCCTAGAGGTCAGGTCAGCCTCACTCTTCCCCCAGCCCCACAAGTCAGGAGACCTCTCCTTTGATCTCTGCGCTGTGCCCCCTGCCCTGGGCCAGCAGGGTCCTTCTCCAAGTCCAATTCTATAGAAGTGGCACATCAGTGCGCAGGTTGGGTCTTGCCCAGGCCTGCCCTTCATATGCCTTCACCCTCTTCGGTCCTACAGCTGCCTTTGAGCTGCTGTGGGGCCTCTCACAAGCCTGCTGCTGCGTATTCTCCCTTCTATCCCTCCTGACTCGGAAAACCCTCTCACGCGGTCCTCTGCCTGCCTTCCCCTCTCCAGCCGACCTGACCCTGGACCCTGGCACTGCACACTGCCGCCTGCTTATCTCCGAGGATCGCCGCAGCGTCCGGCTGGCCCCACCAGGGACACCTGCGCCCCCTGATGGCCCCGCGCGCTTCGATCAGCTCCCAGCGGTGCTGGGCACACAGGGCTTCCGGGCTGGCCGCCACTGCTGGGAGGTGGAAACCTCGGACACTGCCTCTTGCAGAGACTCCTCCGGGGAGGAGGAGGAGGAGGATGGGGAGAGCCTCTATGCCGTGGGAGCTGCCGGGGAGTCGGTGCGACGCAAGGGCCGAGTAGGGCTGTGCCCCGCAGGGGCTGTGTGGGCCGTGGAGGGACGCGGTGGCCGCCTGTGGGCACTCACAGCGCCTGAGCCCACCCCACTGGGCAGCACCGGGCCCCCACCACGGCGCATTCGCGTGGACTTGGACTGGGAGCGGGGCCGCGTGGCCTTCTACGATGGCCGCTCGCTCGACCTGCTCTTCGCCTTCCAGGCGCCCGGCCCCCTGGGCGAGCGCATCTTCCCACTGCTCTGCACCCGAGACCCCCGTGCCCCGCTCCGCATAGTGCCAACGGAAGGCTGAGTCTCGCCCACAACCCCCATTCTAGTTTGGCCCATAACGAGGCTGCTTCCTTTTGGCCGTGGAAATCCCCACTCATTCCAGGGATCACGTCCACAAGCCCACTGCCGTGTATTGATAAGCACCCTCACCCACCTACATTGTCTCTTTTCTCCCAAATAGTAAGACTTCAACTGGCCTCCAGTTTCCACAGCCACACCCAAAGTCAAATCCATTCCTGCCCCCCTCCTCTTGCGCCTCTTCTCCTCCACGTCTACCCCAGTACTTCCCAACTGATCCCTCCCCTTCTACCTTCTATTCCAGGCCTGAATTGGGGACCAGGCCCTGACCCATCAGTATTGGTAAATGGCCAGTGTTTACTACAGAGGCCCTGCTAGTCAAATATTTACTTCCCACCCCTGCCTCGCCTAGTCTCAAAGAAGGGCCCAGTGCCTTCTCCACAACTCTAAGGTTTGGGCTTCCCTACCCTGTTGACTCAAGAGAAACAAGAGCCTACTCCTAAAAAACAGGAGACGTGACTCTGGCTTGGGCCTTAGGGCTTTCTAGAGAGCTTAATACCACCCCCGCCCCTCCTTTTTTTGTTGAGGAAGATGAGCCCTGAGCTAGCATCTGTGCCAATCCTCCTCTACATGTGGGTTGCTGTCACAGCATGGCTGATGAGTGGTGCAGGTCTGCGCTGGGGATCTGAACCAAGAACCCTGGCCACCAAAGCGGAGAGCACCAAACTCAACCACTATGCCACAGGCCCGGCCCCTTAATACCCCTTTTTTGGAGGGCAGGGAGAGAGGCAGGCCAGTTCTACTCCACTCTTGACGGCTTTCTGTGCTCACAGCCTTTCCCATTAAGAACCTTCTTAAATCTCCCCCCTGCACATACTCAAAGTAAGAAACCAATGGTGCTACCTCTCCTTTCCTCAACCTGGGAATGGCCCAGACACCCCAAATTTATCCTTGTATATAGCCTCACATCTTTCCCCATATGTATAAATGGGCCCATATTTAACACGTTTTGTGATGTTGCATTATTTATTTTGTGCATCTGTGGCAATAAATGAGATCTCCACGGTGGTATGGATTTGACTGATCTCTGCAACTAGAGATGCATGGCAAGAGGCCTGGAAGACAATATCCAGATCTCAGTAAGGGGTGGGGAGGGCCGAGAGAGCTGGCCATCTGGACTGGCAGAGACATCAAAGCCTAGGAAGGAAGGGGTAAGAGTGTGGTGTAGGGGACATACCCCCAGCTCTTTGCTCCCTCCCTTTTCCTTCCTCTCCCAGGGACCCAGGCCCCTGGCACTGTTTTAACTGTCTCTGAAGCTGGAAGACCAAAAGCTGAGGAGACAGTTGGCTCTAAGTGAGCCAGCTGTCAGAAATCCTAGATCACATGAGAAGGGTGACGAGAGAGGACATGACTATTTCTTTTTCCCTTAAAGGTGAGGATGACAAAGACCTTTCTCCTAACTCCTCTTGAGGGCATGAGAGGAGTGAGGAGGAGGGGAAGGGCTGGGAGCCCTGAGGTCTCCCATCAGACCTCATATCCCACAGGCAAGGACTAAGAGTTAGGACTATATAAATACATAGTTGAAGAGCTCTAAGCCAGGATTAACAAGCATAGCTGGGGCAAGATTGCCTGGAATCTGACTGGGACTCTGGCAGTGAAAGCTGGGGCTGTTGGAAACCCACTTTAAGTGTTTGGGACTCAGGGAGAGAGTGCAGGGGGCCAAGATAACTGGATCCCAGGACAGGCAGTTTGGCAGTGAGAACAAAGGGAAGAAACTGGGACCAAGATGCCTGGATCCCTGGAGAGAGGAGGATGGGTAATGGAAGGAGAAACGAGGGCTAAGGGAACCCAGAAGCCTGGGTTCTGGAATAGCAGCAAGTCAGAATTCCAGGTTCTCTGTCCACTCACCACTCCCACTTCCCTCTATCAGGCAGAGGAGAGGGGAGGAGGGGGCTGGAGAAGGGATCAAACCATGAGTTTAGACCCCAGGTAGCCACATGAATACATTCAGGGCCAAACAGACACAGGAATGGTGGGGGAGAGAGGAATTTAGTGCTGCATTGGCCCTGGAGGGGGCTGGGAGGGGTCAGGAGGTTGGGGAGGGGTGGTGGGGCTCGGTCCCGGGGTTGCATGACGCCGTCCTTTGCGGTGGCCCCGTACACAGTGTGTATGACCACAGCCCTCCTCTTCCTCCTCATCACTCTCCGTGGAGCTCTCGCCAAAGGCCCGAGGTTTCTCATAAATACAGCAGCCTGGATTTGGAGGGAGGAGCCCAGTTAAAAAGGAGGAAGAGTAAGATGTAGAGTCTGTTCCATTCCCACTGGATCTCAGTAAAGATTCCTACTTCCACCATTGTCTCCTCCTACCTTCCAGGATACAGCTTCCCCAGGCCTACCCCCTGGGACTCAGGCACCCAACTCCCTTGTCCTTTTCGAGACCCAGGAATCCAAAGCTCTACTTCTCCCACCTCTGATACCTCTTGCCTTCAGGCCTTGGCACATCACAATTCAAGCCCCTCCCTATCTCTTTCCCTTTAACATTAACCTCCTTTCCCTGATGCCAGGGAACAACCAAGGCAGCGACAGGATTGCGAGCATCTGGGGGCTTCAGGAAGGCCAGTGAATGTGAGAAGGTAGAAGGTAGGCAGAGGGGAGCCAGAATTCCAGGGTTACTGTGGGACAACAATTACTCACATTTTGATGAGCGGCGCCCCATGTGTTCATTGTCCACAGTGTCACTTGTCCATTCCACCTTTTTCTCTGGCTTCCGTTTCCGAAGTTTGATGGTTAGGCTCCGGTTCTCCTGGAAGGTTACGAGGGAAGGGCATAACTATCTAGTCTGCTCATTACTGATCTTTCCCACTCCCTCCCAGGGGCATTCTCTCTTCCCCTTCCCAGCTCAATCAGTATCACAGACATAGCCCCAGGGGAGCTGAGTGCTAAGAGAAGATAAAATAGTTAACAGGCCTTTGACCTCAGGCAGTCCCTTGAGGAATAGAGAAGTATTATTTCCTGTTCTTGATAACCGCCAGTATACAGAGAAGACACAGTTCCTAACCTAGGAAAGGTCCCAGCAAATCTTCAAAGGAAAATATAATCCTCGCTGTTTCTCCGTCTTCCTCCCCAAATCATCCTCGGTGGTATTAATACATGAAAATTATTTTCTCAGTCCCCAATGCCTAATCTTTGATCTTTTTCCAGACCCCCTATTCTTCTTCCCATTAAAGAAAGAACCCCATTCTCACCTTTCTCATCCTCAAGCCCAGCCCTCCCCACCTCTTATCCACCTACTCCCTAGCATCCTGGTATCTCTGGTAACTATTACTCTAAAATCCTTTAATCCAGGGGTTATTAAGCCCAATACGACGTTCTCCCTTTGAAAGCAACTTAATCTGTTTTTGAAAAAATGCTATGTTTTCCTCTATTTACATCTCTGATTTCACAAAATATTATCTTCATCTCCTTTTTCTTGTTCCATTATTCCATCCACTCTCTTTTACACTCATCCCTTCAACAAATATTTAAGGATAAGTACGCTTCCAGTCAAACTCTCCTACAGCTTGCCTCCAACCATGCTTTCTTACACAGCCCTTCATTTCCCCCCAGCACCTCCCTTAACCCTTAATCCCCGAGCTCCCATTCTTTCATTATTTACACACACCACCACCCCACGCAGCAGCATCCTAACTCTAACTATCACACATCGCTTGATCAGCCTCCTGCACCATCTCTGCCACTCCAAATATCCCCAGTATCTTGTGATTCTCCCAACCCCAGATAGTCAACCCCACTCTTCCCATATGCTCAGGCCAGGCCCGTCGAGCTACTCTCAAAAGCCCTATCCCCTCCCTCTCGGTATCTCCCAGACCCCTACACAGCACCGCCCCCCGCCTTTCTCACGGGCTCGGTTGTCACGGTAACCGTTGTCTCAGTGATGGTCTCACTCAGCCCTGCCCCTGCCTCGGCCATGGCTAAGGCTGAGGAGAGGAAGGGACACCCTTTCCTTTTTCTGTGTTTCTGGGGTCTAAAAGAATCGGTATCGGATTCAGAGTAGTAGCCAGGATCCTCCACCTTCTTTTTCCCCCTTCCTCTTGGGCCTCTGCTTCCCCACCCCTGGGGATAACCTGTCCAACCCCACTTCCGGCTCTCCTCTTCCGGGTGTGACGCATTCCGTAGTCCCCCTTTTGCCTTCCCGGGCACTAAGCGCGTTAAAGCGCAGGCGTCGCCGGATTAGTTCCGCCGTAATGTGACAGTGCGCAGGCGCCGCAAGAAAGCGACACAGACTTGGCGGAAGAGGCGTCACTGCGGCTGTGGGAGGAGGGGGTCGTCAAGGGCAGCGCGCGCACGTACAGCACAGAGCAGGCAGGAGGGGGCGGTCCGGAAGGGGAGAGCTGGGTTGGCCGCTGCGGATCGGGTGTGGCGCGGTGCCCGCCGCCGGGGAGGGGCGAGTGCCGCACCTGGTTCAGACGTCCGGTAGCTGAGCCCATCCTCTTCCCCATCTTTAACCCTGGGTGGGTGGGAGAGCGGGGGAAACTTAGGGGCAATAGTAATAACTCTACAATGGCCTATTTTCGTTTCGTCTATTATTGTTATTTCCCCTATTATTGTTTCGACTGGGAATCAGAGAACCAGGACCTAGGAGCAGTTGGAAACGCACTTGCTTAAGAATCTGGGTTCTAGTCCTCGCCCTGGGCCTGCAGGTGTTTGAGCGGGGCACTTAATGCACCTTCAACTTGTATTTTTTCCTGTCACTGTGCTAGATCTTGAAGATAAAAGCGATAAAACACGCAGACCCTGCCTTTTAGCTCCCAGTCTAGTGGGAAAGACTGGCATGCTTAGGACCAACAAAACTATAAGACATTGGGATATTAACATAGATGTAAATCTCATCTGTGAAACTGATTTCAGTTACATACTGCCCACATTTTCTCTGGGATGGAGGTAAGATTAAGCACAGAAATGGTCATAAATTACAATATAGGCCAGTTTATGCTATGGTAAAAAATATGTGCATGTTTCTCAGGGAGCAAAAGAGTGGTAAAAAGGGAAGTGGAAGGCAAATGTTATTTTGTTTTTTTTGGTAAAGAGAGAAGCTTACAAAGTGTAGCTGTGTGCACTGATGGAAATGCAGTTTTGACCTGCTGAGATGTAAGGGGAGTGCCTGACAAAGCTTGACAGGTAGGGGTGGTTATATGGGAGGCCCTGTCTGCTTTACTAAGAAACTTGGCCTTTATCCAGTCAGTGTTAGGGGCCAGGAAAGGGGAGGGTAGAAACATGCACAGATTTGTTTCAGATTTCAGGAGTAGGGCGGGAAAGTCAACTACAAGAACAGTTCAAAAGTACAGTGGAGAAGACTGCCCTGCCCATCCCTCCAAGTTGCTGAAGAGGTCAAACAAGATAGGGTATGCTTGAGAGCTCTGAATATATAAAGGGCCATACAATGACAAGATAATCAGTATTACTGTCACCCCTTGATTGCCATTTAAGCCAAGGAATGCAGGAAGACTGGTCCTCAGACTAAAATTTGAATATGTTTATTGTGCCTGGACTATATATTTGTTTCCCTTTTAAGTTTTTGGTTCAAAGTGAAAAAAGCAAGATACTGAGCATGGGGCCCGCCCCATGGCTTAGCGGTTAAGTGTGCGCGCTCCGCTGCTGGTGGCCCAGGTTGGGATCCCGGGTGCGCACCAACGCACTGCTTCTCCAGCTATGCTGAGGCCATGTCCCACATACAGCAACTAGAAGGATGTGCAGCTATGACATACAACTATCTACTGGGGCTTTGGGGAAAAAATAAATAAATAAATAAAATTAAAAAAAAAAAGATACTGAGCATGTATAGTAGAACCTATTTAAAAAAAAGAAAACCAAATATCTCTGTGGATTCCTTGTGATTTTTCTTTCTACCTTTCTATATAAGAATCTATCACAATGAATATATATATTTACCTCAAGAGCAATAAAAAAAACAATTTCCAAAATGTCCACCTGTCGCAAGTACATACTAGTATCCCTTAGTATCAGATTTTTTGTTGTCCTAACTTACACATCAAATATATCTCATCAAATTTTCTGTTGAATCTCTCACTATCCAAACTCCCACTTTTTGTTTCCCTAAACTCAGGAACTAAATAGATTTAGATAGTAAGTTAACATTGCTGCTTTTTTTTTTTTTTATCGTGAGGAAGACTAGCCCTGAGCTAACAACTGTTGCCAATCCTCCTCTTTCTCGCTAAGGAAGACTGGCCCTGGGCCAACATCCATGCGCATCTTCCTCCATTTTATGTGGGAGGCCTGCCACAGCATGGCTTGATGAGTGGTGCATAAGTCCGTGCCAGGATCTGAACCTGCAAACCCTGGGCTGACAGAAGTGGAGCCCACAGGGCCGGCCCCGTGGCTTAGCGGTTAAGTCCGCACGCTCCGCTGCTGGCGGCCCGGGTCCGGATCCCGGGCGCGCACCGACCCACTGCTTCTCCGGCCATGCTGAGGCCATGTCCCACATACAGCAGCTAGAAGGATGTGCAGCTATGACATACAACTATCTACTGGGGCTTTGGGGGGAAAATAAATAAATAAATAATAAATAAAAAAAAAAAGAAGTGGAGCCCACAAACTTAACCACTATGCCACCAGGCTGGCCCCAACATTGCTTTTTTATATTAGCCTCATTCCTGGCTCCATTCTTTTCTCTTTGTTTTTTTTCCTTTTTCTTTGTCATGTACTAATTTATATTATCTTTTTGTAGCTGATATATTTGTTGAAAGAACAAATATATCTCTGTGAGCTCATTTAAATTCCTTTTGGAACAAGACACACAGTAAATAACATACATATATCTGGCTCTTATATAAAAATATAACTTTAATAAGGAAACTCAACTAAAGGTAGGAGTACTCTGGAGACAATGGTAATCCCCATATGATGATCTTCTCCTCTGGGAGCAAAACACTGCAAACAGGGGATGGACAAAGGATCTGAGAACCCAATATCCTTCACCTTCCAAGGAAGAAGAGAGGAAGGGATTGTTGAGTCGTCCAGAAAAAAAAAAATCAAGAGTCTTCCTTCTCCTGAAACCTATGAAGAAAAAAGAACTTGTTATATTTGAACAAAGGAAGAGGTTCTAGCAATTTAAGATGAGACACACAAATAATCAAGGAAGGACTTTCACTTATGACACTGTGGAGGACTAGCTCCCTTAAACAATCCTCCAAATTTAAGACCACTAAAAATGCTGGAATTCGGGGCCAGCCCGGTGGCCTAGTTAAGTTCCTACACTCCGCTTTGGCAGCCCGGAGTTTGCAGGTTCGGATTCCTGGGCACAGACCTATGCACCACTCATCAAGCCATGCTGTGGCGGCATCCCATATACAAAATAGAGGAAGATGGGCACTGATGTTAGCTTAGGAGTAATCTTCCTCAGGCAAAAGAGGAAGATTGGCAATGGATGTTAGCTCAGGGCTGATCTTCCTCATCAAAAAAAAATCGAATGAATTATGAAATATGCAAAGATTTCTTAGGACACAAAAAGTACTAGCCATAAAAGAAAAAAAAAAAGGATAAACTGGACCTCACAAACTTAAGAACTTCTCATTAATAAAAAAAAAATAGTTAAAAAAATACAAAGGACAGATTGGGAAAAAAGTCCTCTCAAAAGATATATCTAACTATAAATATTTTTAATCCATTGAAGAGATGGCAAGAAAGTAAAGGCAACCTTCACACTGGGTAAAATGATGTAAAACCAGGAATCTAGACAGGTAAGTTAAACTCAAGTCTTTGCTACCATAGTGCCCTTGCTGTTTTGACAGCCACAGGGAGGAACTAGAAACCTAGAATGGAGATACTCTGCATAAATTTGGGCCACCCAAAGGGCTACTCCTTTGTGTAAAAGTGAACAAGGAAAAAAAAAAATCCACCTCTGCAGAAGGGGAATTTGACTACCTCACAAGGTAGAGGGAGAAAAAATCTTCTCTGAGAATTTCTAACCATAAGCTGGCCCTTATATGGATTTGCAGCCCGAATTTATACTACCTATGTGCTCCAAAAAACCTGAAGCCAAGAATTTATTTAAAGTAATTCCGGCTCGGTAGTGCCTCAAGGCACCTGAACAGGAAACACAGATGCTGAGGATACAGCATTCACCCCAGGCCTCAAAGAATTCCCATACTTCAGACTCTAAAAAATCCAAGCTTATAGTAAAAAATCACAAAACAAAGAAAAAAAGCACCATGAGAGAGTCAGCAAAAATAACAGACAGCAGTATCAGACTCACAAAAATGATGGGTATCAGAATTATCAGACACAGTATAAATCATCATGTTTAATATACTTAAAAGTAACATTTTAAGACTAAAAGGAGCAATTTAAAATATGATTAAGGAATTGGGAATTATAATGACTGAGGAAATTTGAAAAAATAATCAAGTAGAACTCAAAAGAAAACTTTTTTTAAAGTAACAATAATTGAAATAAACTGAAGACAGAATTAGTGACCTGGAAGAGAGACCTGAAGAATTTACCCAGAGGCAGCATCAAGAGAAAAAGAGATGAAAAATATGAAAGACAGGGTGAGAGAAATGGAGGGTGGAAGAGAAGGTTTATTAAACAACTAATTAATTAGAGCTCCAGAAAAAGCAATATTCAATGAGATAATGGCTGATAATTTTCCAAGGTTGATGAAAAAAAAGTCAATCCTGAGTTTTAGAAAGTCCAACAAATCCCAAACAGGATAAATAAAAGAAAGCCACATCTTGATATATTGTAGTGAAACTGCAGAACACCAAAGACCAAGAGGAGTTCTCAAAAACCATTAAGAGAGCCCATGTTTTTTAAATTAGGCACGATTAATTCTCACCAAAATAAAACTACTTTGAGTGCAGCAGAAGATTCCAGCATAACATCCTGACCACTAAGCAATACTTGCCTTCTGTATTTTTCCATTTCCTTTAAAATATCTTAAAAGGTTTAGTTCACTGGCTATAAAAAGGATAAGAAAAGTGTAATTTTTAAAAATAAAAAACGACCACAAATCTCCCTACTATCTGAACTGTACAGAAATGAGGGATGGGACCAAAGGAAACAATTGCTTCTTTAGTACAAAAAGTAAATCACTGGATTTGTTTAGTTAGCAAACAGACTGAGACAGGGCAGAGGGAAGGGAAAGGATACGCACTTGCAGTTGGTACAGGTGTAGAAGACAGTCTGCCCTTCATCAGCTGAGCGCATCTGTCTGGTGTGGTATGCCATTCCCTCGTGACCACATCGAGAGCAGCGCCTGTCAACCTGGGAAGCAACTAGTGGATTGGGGAGGCCTAGTCGTATCCCCCCTACTTCTCATAGGAATCAGGCTATCACACTCCTCAGACACTGATGCTCTAAAGCTCCCTCTTCCCTCTTAGAATTGGCTACAAAACTCCACAGGTCTCAGCAATCATCCTCCATTTCTTTCCCAACGCTCCTTGGGGGGCCATGCTTGATGTAACTAACTTACCACGGGTCCCTGGAACTCAGGTCCTTCCTCCATCGACATAGGCATGGCTGTCCCCAGTTTGTGGAACACAAATGAGGTCTTCACAACTTTCCCTTCGAAGTCTGCACAGGCAGTAAGAATCGGTTGCGGAAACAAGCGGAGGGAGCTGACACCCGCAACTCCCTCTTGATTAGGCCAGGAGGTCCTACATCCTTCCCTTCAGGTTTAGTCCCAAGACCAAAAGTGTGAGCGCCTGATCTCCTGCTTTAGGGTTCCCCTCTCCGATCCCACCGATGGTGAGGTCCCCAAGCCTCCGACCCTTCCATGCCGGGCCCTCCGCCGGGGCAGCTGCGTACAAGCCCCTCACCTCGCACGTTGATGGAGAAGCCACAGCGAGTACAAGTGACCGTATCCTGAGTCCCGGGCAGAGGCAGGACCGAGCCGCAATCCGGACAGAAATCCAGGTCCGACTGAAAGCTGGAGGAGGTGCCGGCGAGGTCCATGACGGACAGGCTGTCGAGGGCTGAGAAGGGGATAAGAAGTTGATTAACAAGCGAGTAGCTCCCTCCCCACTCAGGGGTCATTTCTATTCTGTCCCTGGAGCTAAGCATACATAACCGGAGCCCTCCTCCCACGCATGCCTCGTAACTCTGCGACCAACGAGCCCAAGGGTCCCGTATTCCCAGCCTGCGTCGAGTACCCCCTGACTCAGTGGCTTTCCTCGGGCAGGGGAGAGGAGCTAGCCAACTCCGCGGGCTAGAGCGCCGGCCCTGCGCGGGCAATGGGGAAGCGAGCGCGCGGCGGGCTAGAGCGTCCACGCGTTGCGGCTCACGATTGGCTGTGACGTCATAATTAATCGCAAACGTGACCCCGACAGTCCTCGAGAGGCAGAGGAAAGTCTCTGAAGGTGCAGGGTGGGGCTCTCTTCGGCCTGTTTCTGTATGGTCGGATAAGAAAACGGGTAATCGATGCTGGGCCTCCGGCTACTTTTCCCCTCAGGACCCAATCCTGGCATATTTATTTTTCTTGGTCTTGCACCTCACAGGGACCTAGGCGCGGGGGGCCGTCCCCCTGAAAATCGTACTAATCTTACCGAAGACTAATTTCTTTTGACTAGAGAACTGCAGCTCCTGCGGTTCCTGAGCCGATAGTTCCCCTTTTGCGGATGCGCAGTGGTTAAAAACAAAGCTAAACTTTCTGAGTTACACTTGTAGCGCTCTGCAGAGCCCAGCCTGGCTCACGTGCCTTGGAGGTTGTTTCCTGCTCTTGGAAGGAGTGAGTCGGCTTAACGGGCAAAAAGTGGTGAAGGAGGAGGAGGCATGCTTACTCCCTGGGAAGAAGGGAAACAGGGATGAAGTGGGACACTGGGGGCTCAGGACTTTGGAGGTGGAAGAACAGAAGAGGTTGGGACTCCCTCCTCGTTAGACGGATGCCAGATGAGGGAGGCTAGTCAAGGGGAGCAGCCTTGGGTAGGATTTCATTAAAACTTAGGTCGAGGTTGGCTTTCATTTGCGCACCCACCTCCACCTCGTTCCCCGCCTCCCGTCCAACCAACTCTTAAATCATCGTCGTCATCCGTTAGGTGGACAGTTGACATTTCCTTAATCTTTTATAAAACATGCGAACAAGTATCTTTAGAAAATCTTGCTATTTTAATTCATGTGTACCCTACAATCTAAAGTAAAAACTTGTTATCCTCAAGGGACAGCTTTTACATGAGTTTCCTAGTTGCTTCCTAACACTTGCACCCCTACCCAATTAGATAGCTGTACTAAGTTCCTTACATATAAAAGTTCTGGAGCCATACTATTTTCTCCTCTGAAAGAGACAAGCTGTGGTCTCTCCTTGAGAGAGTCTCCGGTCTGCCTGTCTCAACAATAATGGAAAGACACACAATAGTGAAGGGGTTAAAACTTAGCAAGTTACAGGAGAGTGACAGGCCCCATAATTTCACTTAGCTGGTTTTTGTTTTGTCTGTCTTACCAAAGGAGGTCTGTTGCTAAGCCCATGATGGTAGACAGTTTTTATTCTCACTTCTCTCTGTCTCCTTTGAAAATGGAAATTGAAATTACCCCTCTGTCCTCCCCAACTTTCCGTTTTCAGTTTGACAGATATTCAGTGAAGATCCGCCATGAGATGAAGACTGTCCTAATGCAGTAAAGGAACACAAGCATTATAAGGCATGGCCCTTTCCCAACAAAAGCTCACAATTTGTTCAATTAGTATTTATTAAGCACCTATGCCAGTCTTTGCGCTGAGGCTGAGGCTGCAAAGTTGAAAACTGTTTTCTGATCTTAAGGAGTACAACTGAATAATTAGAATACAATGAAAGTACATTAGTAGGAGAAAATGTGAGAACTTAGGACAGGTATATAAAACAAATATGCCTGTATGCTTCAAGGAAGACTGGTGTTTTATTAAAAAGATAGATACAATGTTTTGGGAAATACAAGAAAAATGCTCAGATATTGTGTGATAAGGATAATCACCAATCAACAAATCATTAATTTTGAGAACTTGGGATCATAGACTCTAATGTTAAGTACTGTGCTAGTTGCTATGTACTGAAAAATAAAAGTAAGATGGTCTGGTGCCGGCCCTGTGGCGTAGCGGTTAAGTGCGCGTGCTCCGCTGCTGGCGGCCTGGGTTGGGATCCTGGCCACTCACCTGAGGCACTGCTTGTTAAGCCATGCTGTGGCGGCGTCCCATATAAAGTGGAGGAAGATAGGCACAGATGTTAGCCCAGGGCCAGTCTTCCTCAGCAAAAAGGGGAGGATTAGCATGGATGTTAGTTCAGGGCTGATCTTCCTCACAAAAAAATAAAAATAAAAAAAATAAAAGTAAGATGGTCATATTTTTTAAATCACAAAATAGGTATACATAGGCAAATAAGAATGTGCCTAAGAGATCAGTGAGATCTAGTATTTTATATCAGATCCTTTCTGATAATATAGACAGATCTTTGTAGCTATGTAGTTCTCACTGTTTATGAGTAAATTTCAGCATCAAAATGTTAGAAGTGATATATGAATGCAGATATCACAGTGTAAACCATGAATGATTTTCAGATGAGTTGTAGAAGTAAAAAATCTCAAGCATTCAGAAGGTGGCAATATTGTTACACAGAGCAGACCAGAAAGACTTTATGAAGAGTCAGGGGCTTGACCTTCAGAAGGTAGACAACTGCTGTTTATTGAGAACTTACCATATATCAAGCATTGTGCCAGTCTCTTTAATCCAGTTCACGTGTGTTCTTTATAACCCCAAGAGGCAGATTTTTGTCTTATATCTCCATTTTATAGATGAGGAAACTGACGTAGAGAGAGATTGAGTTACTTGTCCTGGGTCACACAGCTAGGAAGTGGTAGAATTAGGATTCAAACATAGCCTTGTCGGGCTCTTAACCATAAATAGTATAAACAAAGGCACAGAGATGAAATGCCAGGCATCCTCAGTGGCTTAAATACGACCTCACAGTAAACTCAGATTAGACCAAAGATGACACATAAAAAGTTGGCAGACTTCGTTTGTGTTGCCATCAGCCTGTCCTATAAATAAACCCATAGTAACCACAAATTCCCATCCCAAAGGGTCCAACAGGAGATGGTCTAATAATGGATTTAGAGTGAAGGATGATTGGCAATGTAAGGCAGGCAAGCAGAGGGGTGGGTGATCAAATAAGAACAGAATTTCAGAACAAAAGAGGGCAGAGATGCTATATGTGGTGATAGAGGCAGAGAGAGCCTGGATCAAGAAACTGCAGAAAGAGAATGAACTGATGATGCTAGAGTCTAGCATTATCTCAGAAGACAGAGGAGGCTTGGGGACTGAGCAATCTGACATTGATGGGCTTCGGCAACACTTCACCAAGGAGCCTGTCTCTTCTGTCTCTCAATCCCTGATAGAAGATTCTGAATGGTTCTTGTTGAGTCCACAGGAGAAGTATCCTTTTAGTTTATATGAAAGGATTATATGCTCCTATTACAAGAGCATTCATTCTTCTGCACCATAGGGATGCACTGGTTTCCCATGGGTGAAATGGCTCTGCTGTAGTCCTTCCTATGAGCAGGTTTTCTCTTTCTGAGGAGAAATACCCTTGACCTTGGCCAAAACAATTTGGTTTTTTGGTTCAATGAGTATGTGAGCAGGTGTGTTTTGACACCTCCCACATTCTAATCTACCCTTGCTTTTTTTCTTCCAGATGGGCCTGGGCTAAAGCAACTGAAGACTCTAGGATTGCTGCAGGTCAGCAGTCCCCACTGGAGAAGAAAATCTTGGTAAATAAATTGTCTTTATGTCATAGAGTTTGGAACTCCTAGGAGAAGGAACCTTGGGTTTAAAATCCTTCTGCCCAAGTGACACCTTCCAGTAGTGTATCTACACTGGCACATGTTTTCTGGCTATATCTATACTTGCAAAACAAAGTATTATTTTGAAAACTCCCAACAGTATATTTTTTAAAAACTAGCTATTGATTTTGGTGGTGGGTACTTCAACTTTCAGAGCTCACAGTCTCACCTAAGAGTGATGGGAGTAAAATCGTAGTTATTACACTGAAGTAAATAAAAGACCACTCATATTTTTTCTTTTGGTGTCAATAGTGTAAGTAAGCTCCTGTTTAAATGTGTTCAAAGTAAAAAGATGGTTATGTTATAAAATTCTGTACTTCACTTTGACAGAATCTAGGTGGCGTGCATACAATGGCAGCAAGACAACTGATAACTCAAAAATATCAAGAGGAGTATGAAAGACTCTGTAGGGAGCAAGCTCTTTCTCTTGACTATTGGCTTGCCAAAGCAGAGTCTTATTATAATAAAAGAATAGTGGAAATGGTGAAAGAAGAAGAGACAGGCAATGAAATCAAGAAGAAATTGGAGGGGAAAACAACCACAACCCAAAGCATAGAGAGACAAAAAACGTATTATTTGGTACCTGAGAGAGAGCTGAAACACATAGAAAGGCACATACGTCGAGCAGGACAGTTCAGACAATTTAAGAATAAAACATTTAGACGATTACTACGACCCCCTAGTGGAACAACATTCCCCAGAATTGTGCTGGAAGAGCATGGCATCCAGAACACACAGAGAAGAAAGCAGGTAAATGAGAGAGAACAGATGCAAATTAAAGATCACGAGGAACGCATGATCCGAGGGAGAGAACTTACAGAGCAAAAACTCAAGGAAAGAATCTTGAGAATAAGCCAGAGCCAGCCACCTACACGTGAGAAGCATGAGAGAGTCAAGAAAGAGGTAGAAGTCGCATTAAAGTGAATATTCTTATGGAAAAGTCTCCGAATAGGGAAAAAGAGAATGCAATTATAAAACCATATCAAAAAAAATTCTTAACTATGCCACCCTTTTTGAGAAGTCAAATAGGAAAAATAAAAGATTAGTGAAGTTTCAATGGTTTTTGATAAAATCATGTCTCTTAAATGAATCTTTTTTTTCTTAATGCTAGTTCTCACCTCTCCGTGGAGTTCAGTGAATATTTGTGTCAGATACAGAAGTATTAGATAGTTCTGGACTTGAAAACTAGCTTAGCTATTTTTAGTTGCCCTGTGTTTGTTCAAGTTGCATATCCTCTTTGATGTTAGTGTGCTCATCTGTAAAGTGGGAATAATAATATTTCATAGCATTTATGAGAGGATTATGATTTCTGTGAAGCGTTAGCATGTATTAGATGTTTCATAAATGTTAGTTTCCTCATTGGGAAGACCTGGGTTGGGCAATGATGGTGAATAAAGAATTGTTCTTTTTTGTTGTTTCTATTTTTCAATCAAATTTATTTATTTTTTAATTGAGGTAACATTGGTTTATA